CTCGCAAATAAATGAAATGGGACATTCAGCTGACAATTATATTCTCGTTCATACAAGAAACAATTCAATTTGCATTATTATTATTATTATTATTATTATTATTATTATTTACCATATCGCTAATTCACCCCCTTTTATTCCCAATTTGTGTAACCTTACTTTTCATCTTATGTAGCAGCTCGCTCTTGGTGGAAAATCTGTCCTATCTAAACGATCTCCAGTCACTGTCTGGTTGAAAGTGAATGCTTCCACCGATTATGGAATACTGAAGCAGTTCTTCTGAAACCACGTACGCCGTTCAAGCTGGCTTCCTTCAACGTTCGCAAACTAATGCAGATCAGACAACAGATAGAGCTGGCTATGTCTTTAGAAAGTCTTAATGTTGACGTTTGTTGTCTATCCGAGACCCGCATTCAAGACTCTAGTGAAGTACTACAAATCCGCTCTCCATCTGTCGCCTCGAAAAGCTTGTTTCACGTGCGCTTATCCGGGGACCCTGTGGCGTGTTCGTCTGATCTTGCAGGCGTTGGTGTCGCACTAAGCGCTAGAGCTGAGGCAGCACTAATCGACTGGATCCCCATTAACAGTCAGTTATGTGCTGTTAGATTAGAAAGTTCCATCAAAGTGAGAAGAAATCGGCGTGAGAAACGGTGTCTTTTCGTCATCTCCGCCTATGCCCCGACAGATTGCAGCCCGGATGCAATCAAGGATGAGTTTTACCATCAGTTAACAGTTCTTCTCCAGAAAGCGCGTTCGACAGATATTGTAGTACTAGCCGGAGACTTGAATGCACAGGTCGGGCGTCTAGGCACAGAAGATAGTCGTTTAGGTGGCTGATGGGGACTTGTTGGTCGCAGGACAGATAACGGGGACCGTTTGCTGCAACTGTGCACAGACCACAACCTGTTTCTGGCCAGCACTAACTTCCGGCACAGTCATCGCCGGTGTGCTACCTGGCGTCCTCCCTCTGCATCCCAAGCCTGGACTCAGATTGATCACATCGCGATCAGCTGCCGCTGGCGTGGTTGTGTACAAGACTGCCGCTCCTTCTGGAGTACCTATCTGGAGTCTGATCATGCCCTGGTCTTCGCCAATCTCACCTTACTTTTCAGTGGCCGAAGGATTGACCACCACCAACGGATCGATGTTAGTAAACTGGCTGCAACATCTGTTGCAAGTAAGTATCGAGCGGAGCTAGCTTCTAGGCTAGCTACCATCCCACCGAAAAGTGTAGATGAGCATTGGTTGCATCTTCACGACGCCATGAAGATGACGAGTAAAGCCGCTTGCGGCTTCGCGAAACGTCCCGCTTACAAGCACTGGGTTTTTTCTGGCTCCTTACATCTGATGGAAGCCCGTCGGTCTACTCCGGGTGACCGTGAGTATGACCACAAACGAAGGCTGTTACGTAATGAAATTGGGCAAAGCTTGCGTAAGGACCGAGAAGCCTGGTGGTCGGAGCGTGCTAATGAGATGGAAGCAGCAGCTGCATCTGGTAACTGCCGGAAGCTCCTCCAACTCATCCGAGCCACTGGCAGCAAGAAGTCTGGTGTGAGTGAAGCAATCTACGAGGATGATGGGATGCCAATCACTAACATCTCTCGACGTCTTGGACGATGGGCTGAATTTTTCGAAGGGCAGTTCAACTGGCCTGCTTCCCCGGCAACATCGACCAGTTTGTCCTGCCCCCCATGGCCGGTGACGACTGATCCACCAAACGAGGCGGAAGTCCGCAAGGAACTCCAACTCTTGAAACGCTACAAAACACCGGGCCTAGATGACTTACCTCTGCCTCTTTTTAAAGACGATGGTGACTTTCTGGCTAAGGAACTGACTGTGTTGTTTGCAAAGGTTTGGGAGCAAGAAAGTGTTCCAACATCATGGAATGAGTAGATAGTCGTCCCTATCTTTATAAAGGGTTCACGTTGTTCCCGTAACAACTATCTGAGGAAACGTCTAGTTCCGATTGCGTCCAAACTATTGGCTTCTGTCATTCTTCGTAGGTTGTTTAAAACCCGAGAACGATTGACTCGCGGGGAGCAGGCTGGTTTTCGTTCTGGCCAAGGACGCATTGAACACATCTTCACCCTCCGCCAAATGTTAGAACACCGTCATACTTATCGCAGGCCAACAATCGTAGTGTTTCTTGATATCAGGGCTACCTTCGATTCGTTGGACAGGACTATTCTCTGGGATTATTTATTGAAGAAGGGTGTGCCTGAGAAGTTCATTAACATCTTAAAGGCCCTGTATACGAACACCTCAGGCAGAGTGAGGGCATACAACCACCTTTCTCCCTTGTTTCATTCGAGCAGTGGGGTTAGGCAGTGTTGCCCGATCTCACCACTCCTCTTCAACTTTGCCATCGACGACATCCTGGAAACAGCTCTGATGGATGTAAGTAATGGCGATGTGGATATGTTGCCTGGAAAACGACTTCTCGACCTCGAGTATGCGGATGATATTGTCTTACTGTGCGATAATGCCCAAGGCATGCAATCCGCACTTAATCAGTTGGCAATCAGTGTCCTCAGGTACGGCATGTGCTTTGCACCCTCCAAGTGCAAGGTACTCCTACAAGACTGGCAGGATTCTCATCCTTTACCCACCCTGGATGGTGAGCAGATTGAAGTAGTTGAGAAGTTCGTGTATCTAGGTAGCTACATAAGTGCTGGTGGTGGCGTGAGTGATGAGATTGATGCACGTATAATGAAAGCCAGAACGGCTTATGCCAATCTGGGCCATCTTTGGCGCCTTCGTGATGTTAGTCTGGCTGTAAAAGGTCGGATCTACAACGCGTCGGTGAGAGCAGTTTCGCTCTATGCTTGTGAAACCTGGCCTCTCCGAGTTGAGGATGTTAGACGTCTCTCTGTGTTCGATCATCGTTTTCTCCGAAGGATTGCTGACATCCAGTGGCAACACCATGTTAGTAATGCAGAGGTTCGGCATCGTGTGTTCGGGCGCAGAGACGATAATTCAATTGGTGTCACCATCTTGAAACACCGACTTCGGTGGCTCGGACATGTTTTGCGAATGTCGTCCCAGAGGCTTCCACGTCGTGCATTATTTACCGACTCTGGGACTGGTTGGAAAAAGCGTAGAGGAGGTCAGTGTATGACATGGTGTCGTGGCATGAAAGAGAGCTGCAAAGGGCTAGCTTTTGTTGGTCCTTCACGACTCCCTGGCTGGGGTCCGAGAGATGGTGCAACACAATGGCTAGAGACGTTATTAGATATGGCTCAGAATAGAAGCCAGTGGCGATCCTGCTGTAACCTTCTTCTACTTTCTTCATAAAGAGTGGCTATAACTTTCCTAACTGAGAGAGCTCTTCTGGTTGTACATTCAGTTCCCCCCATCATCACTCTTCTCCTTTTCTTTTTTTCCTTTTATATATACGCATCTTCTTCCTTCTCCTCCCATTCTCATTATTTTGTGTGGCGCATATGTATCCGGTGCCCTTTGTACCAATATATATGTGATTAAATAAATAAATAAACGTCTCCGCCCCATACAGTAGAATTGTCTTGACACTTGTATTGAAAATTCTGATTTTGGTGTTGGTTGACAGTTGTTTTAAGTTCTAGATGTTCTTCAGTTGTAGATATGCTGCTCTTGCTTTGCTGATCCTCGCCCTCACATCTGCATCAGATCCACCGTGTTCATCAATGATGCTGCCCAGATATGTGAAGGTTGTAACATTCTCCAAAGCTTCTCCGTCAAGTGTAATTCGATTGGTGCATGTTGTATTGTATCGGAGAGTCTTGCTTTTCCCTTTGTTTATATTGAGACCTACTGCTGCTGAGCCTACTGCTACATTGGTCGTTTTCAACTGCATTTGTTGTTGCGTGTGTGATAGGAGGGACATATCATCTACTAAGTCTTGATCGTCCAACCGCATCCTATCTGTCCTTTGTTTTCCCCAACACAGATCTTGACTTCTTCATAATCCAGTTGATCACCAGGAGAAAGAGAAAGTGTGAGAGTAAGCAACCTTTCCTAACACCGTTCTTTAATTCGAACGAATCTGTCCTCCATGCATGATTTGGTAGTTTAATCCATCGTAGGAATTTCGTATGATATTGACTATCTTCTCAGGCACGCCGTAGTGTGAGAGAAGCCTCCATCGTGTTGTCCTGTCCACGCTATTAAATGGTTTCCCGTAGTCAATGAGGTTGATGAATTCCATTCAATTGATTGTTCCACAATGACCCGTAGAGTTGCAATTCGGTCTGTACACGATCGATCCCTGCCAAATCCAACCTGTTGATCTCGAAGTAGGGCGTCTACGCAGTCCTTCATTCTGTTTAACAATACCCTGTTGAAGACATTTCCTGGTATTGAGAGAAGAGCGATGCCTCTGTAGTTATCACACTTTCTCTCGTTTTTAATGGATCCTTAGCAGTTTAGCGATATCGATCAGTTGAAGTGTTGTTTTTTCGTGCGATTTCTCAAGAAATTGATCTCGTCATGATCATCTGAAAAACAAAGATAACGATGTAATTGTGATAAAACAGTTTTCTGTCGATACTTTTCCATCTCAGCTGTGAAATATCCCAGCAATGCTATTTCGTATTGACTTATATTCACCTCAAGCTTGTCAGCTAAAAAGACCCATTATCTGGAACCATATAACTAGTTCTCTTCATATATCTCTCAATTTTTACCCGAGAGGAATTTAACGTAAATAAATCATATATCTTCGTATTATCTTCTTACTTGCTTCCATAAATATGCTGTTTCATCTACACCCAATCATTTTTTGAATTCCAACTTTATTTAGCTTTCACAACTCCATTCTTATTAGTTTACTGCAAATATTTAACGACTTTTTCTGAAGCAATACTCATCTAGAAAGATTAATACAGATATACTTTGTCATCAGTGTATTATTACGGTAAACACTATGGTTGTACTCATAGCTGTTAATATAATGTTTTATAATTATTTCATAGTTCACCGTACTACAAGAAATATTTCTGTTTCGTTTTTATTATTAACAGGTTTGCGAATCGGTTAGAAACACAAATGTACATTTTTCTTCTGTTGGTCAAAAGCGTTCTTCAGTAGATTTCGAAAAGCATTATTCTTCTCCTAAAAGACATTTAGAAAAATCACAAAGTACAAGCTTGCATAAAGTAAATTAGACTCAATTTGATTGTCAATTTATCATTTACTGTAGAATTCCAGTAATAGCAACCATAACACTGAAGTAACTGAATCTGAGTCGACTCTTTTCCAAACAGCAGGATCCTTGGTGGGTAATTATTTTTCTCTAAAAGGGATTTGTGAGGATTGTTAAATTTCATACTTTAAATCACGGACTAATCTTGGTAAGGCAATCATAGGGAACCAGGAAGCATTAAATAGCTGTTTCGTCTCAGCGTGCCGTTCCTCAATAATAAACATCTACGACCCTAGTTGGGACTGAACCTAGGACTTTTAGGTCTCTCACCAAGCGCTTAAGCTTTGTATAACTTGGTTGGCATTCGATCGTTCACATGTCTGACTTCAATTTATCTGTAACATTGTACAACCATCTCCCAGTGCCGTTGGACAAAGTAGCTATCCAGTGCTTCCTGGTTTTTCATGGCTCTCTAACTAAGATCAGTCTGTAATGTAAACTATGAAATTACTTTTAATTAGAGAGTTGTTTTATCTGAGATTTGACCAGACAATTTCATTTCTTTTTGCTGATGGAGTGTGGCAACTTGGACTGTTGTACATGCGTACCAGGTCCGACATTGCAACTGAATAACTGAATCATTTTTATCCCACAAATACATTCTTGTGTACGGTGTCGATTTCCAATGGAAATCATTCTTTATCAAATAAGTATATCTTCGTTGTTGATGCGTTGACTTTTGTACATATTTTATGTATTGTTGTAAGAATTCACAATTTACTTTCGTTGTCATCATTATAAACGTTTGCAATAGAATTATGGTAATAAAACAAAGATAAACTATTAATTAGACTTTCCGAAAAATGTGTATTAAAGTTAGACTTTCCACAGAACTGCATTTACTCAGGTGCCCAGATACATAACTAGCTCATACAGAAAAATATTCAATGAAATCGTACGATATTTAAATAAACAATAAAAATGTTAGTGGACAATAGACACTGAGTGTAGGTTAGTTTGCTACATTTTAATCATTCCCAAGACAGCGATTCGGATCTTAGACCAGTGGTTCACATCATCTTGCGAATCATACGAAGAAATATTATACGATTCACTTCAACAATCAGTATAAACATTTCTCTGTATGTTGAGCGTCTTTTTAAACTAACTCAAATTCAGCAAACTGATCGCTTCATAGCCTATGGCGACTTGTTACATCTTACAACTACTTAAGGTTCCATTTTCAATCTAGCTATTGATGAAGACCAGTTTGGAAAAATAATGTTCCATTTAAGATATTCGAAATAAATCCACACAAAAAAATTTAATTAAGAACATATTACACACTAAAAACAATAAGTTCTCTCAATAATTCTGACATTAAAATTGAATTAAGAATCACCACATTAAAATCAAGATGAAAACGGATTGATTTTGAACATATTTAAGAGCCTTGTATTTTCTGATGGTGTAAGCTTCTATAAACCGGGATTTAAAAAATGTTCTTAAAATTAATTCTATAACCTATTTCTTTGTTATATTAAGTTACAAAGTGCCATGAATTTCTACCTTTTGGGTTTGTCACATTGCTAAACTAATCAGGTCTATAAGAACAAATACATTATTCTCAAGTGATATGTTTTTAGTTTGTATTGTTGTAATTATTATTATTATTCAAGCTGGAACAAAATCTAAAATCGAAACAAAATGAAAATAACAATAGAATATCTCTGATGTATGGCTCCTCTAAACGATCTTTAGGGAGTCGGTAAGTTCGAATATATATATATATATATATATATATATATATATATAACGTTATGTACATTTAACGACTAAATAATTTTATATCTGAAATTTCCTCATCATTTCATAGCAAAAGTACATTCTGTATAACTGTGAAACAGGATTAATCCCATATCCATTATACTGTTATCCTCTCTTCGTTTTGTAACTGGTAGTCGTAGATGTTGGGTGATATAACTGTTGGGGATGTCAAATCCCCAGAACTTACTTGGTAAATGGCTTAATCTTGTAGTTTTATTTTGAAAATTTGAATTTAGCTGTTTTCGCGCCAAAAGCGCTTTTTTTACCTTCACGTCATATTTCCCACCTGTAAACTATCTTAACCGCTATTGGTCCATTGTTTCTTTGTGTGTGCTATTTACCAGTGATGCTCAAGGACAAATTGTTGTTGTATAAATGCGCTTGACTTTTTCCATTATTCAATTGCTTGTACTCGGCTGCTTACGGAATACATATATATTCCCCTACTTGCCTTGGACTTCTTCATCTAGTTAGCGGGACCTGGGACAACCGATTAGAATAGCTTATCGTGTCATTGGCTTTCGTTCGTTACCGCGGAATCGATTTAGTGTCAAGCATAACAATAACGCAACTGTATTCGATCTTTATTTTTCTTTAGACCTTGATTTTTTAAATTATCTTATACTCTTTATTCCGATGATTTGTTCTTGGATCATGTCTGTGACTTATATTTTCTACTTCTACCTGTACTACTCTTTCTACTACTACTACTTATACTCTTTTTTTTTGATAGTTTCGTTTCGCTTTGCTGATATGGCGTAGCAACTTGAATCAATGCACATCTGTGGTGAGTTCTATGTTTGTTTATGATTGACTCAATATCTATTGGAAGATTATCATTTGTTGCTTGCCAGATTCACATGGTTTATTTATTTTTTTTGTTTTACACAAATACTAATTGCAAAGATGACTCATTCATTACACTTTAATCAATCAAAAAATAAATTTAGTTAGTGTCTCATCCTAGTAAAATATAATTATGTATGACTGAATTTTATCTAGTATAAAATAGGTTTAGGCATACACTTCTTGTCATCTTTGACTGAATTTTATAAATAGTATCAAATTCTGAAGCTGAATAATCTGTATCTACTACATGTTTCAGAATGTTACATAAGTCATCTGTATTATCCTATTCCATGCCATACTGGTAGATGCTATCGAACGATAAGTTGTCATGACTGACCAATTCAATATGCATATACCAGTTCACCTGTTTCTATGGTGTTAGATATATAAGTCGTTCGTTGAGTTCACTTCTTTATCACATCTGGAAGCATCCATAGGTATGAGCTAGCAAAGGATGACATAGGTAAATCATAACTTTATTATTAGATTTGTCAACGTTTGCTTATGATAATAAATTAGTATTACATTTCATGTTGTAGTCGAGGTGTTCGGGGTAACATTGTCCCACCATTTGAAAAAGATTCAGATTCGACATCAAACTACAGTGCAGAAAACAAATCAGAGGCATCTATATGTGATGAACGACTGAAACAATTTGACCAAAAGATTGTTGATATGATTATGAGTGAGGTATGGTCCCATCATTTTTTTCCAGTGCAGGTTGTTAACTTATATATATTTGGTATATGCATTGAACCAGCATTGTTTTTTTGTGTAGCAAAAACAAATAACATTGTGCAACAAAGCGAATCCATCTCATATGCTCTTCTATGTATCCAATAAATTTAGAAATAGAACACTAAACAGCTCTGATTTCATGTGAAGTGTGCTGATGATAATTAAATTGTGGATCATTCAGAGAAGTCAATATACATTTATGTTTGGTTCTGTGTTGCAATGGTCGATCAACCAATTGCAGATTTTGTTCAGACGTGTCATGCCTTTTACATACCAAACTCAATGGCTTACGCAGGTTGGAATATTTAAAGTGATCATGTTCACTTTGATCCGAGTGTCTTTCCGTTCAGTAAACCCGAGACACATTTGTATTTCATTACACAAGTAAAGAACGCAATATATATTTGTCTCTTTAGGTGTCTGCAGTTGCGTATACCTAACAGTATTGATGAAAAAAGCGGTAGGTTAAATAAAAAGCCAAAACAGGAAATATTAGTGTTTTAGCACAGTAAGATGCCTATTACCTACAACAGCTATAACGACACAAATGTTTGTGATCATGTCTTGTGTTTTTAATTTTTAAGTTTTGAGCTCCAATATTATTTCTTAATTTTTATACTTCATATTCATTCCTTTTCTTCATACGATTGTTCAATCGTTTTAATTATCATTGATTGGGCTACCACCTTAACTGTTTCGGGATTTCCTTTGTTAATTTAATCTCTTCGTGTTGAAGTGATAAAGAAACTTAGGCTGACCCAGGCTTTACTTTGATTATGGTTGATTGTACAGCTTAGATCAACCCAGTGGTACCTACAAGTCCTTTGAACACGTCATACTCAGCTGTCCATTTTTGAACCTCAAATTATGCCATTATTTACTTATGGCTGTAAGCCTCACGGGAGAGCGTGAACCGCCCACCAACATTCTCCATCCAACTGTCCTAGACAATCCTTTTTGAGTCGTTTACAGTTTCCATCCATTATTTTGGCATCTTCCTCCGATTCCCGATGCAATGTGTTCTCTGGTCTTCCTCTTTTCCTTTTCCCCTCACGATTCAAAGTTAGCGCTTATCTCGTGATTCAGTTTGATTTCCTCACCACTTCCAACGTCTTTTCCTAATTTACTCTTCAGTTGGAAGCTGGTTTGTTCCCTTCCACAGTAGATTGTTGCTGATGTAGTCCGACCAACGGACACTGAGTATTTTGCATAGACAATTGTTTATAAATCCTTATACATTTTTGATAATGATTGTAGTAGTTGTGCAACTCTGTGAAATAGGACTGTTTTGACGTTTGTATTGAACAGTCTGATTTTAATGTCGGCTTCCAGACATTTGTTCTGAGTCCCATATGTTCTTCAACTGTAGGAATGCTACCTTTATTATTAGAACTTTGATAGTGATAAGTCTACAAAAGTGTTAACTCAACCTTGACTAGTCATCTGTTGGGTTTTACTCTGAGTATACCAAAAGTGTTGATTGCTATACAGTGACTTCTATATTGAACATAATTAGATAGAAGCAAACACGAACGTTAACCGTGCTTCTGCTTTTAGTGGTACACTTAAATGACCTCACACTGAACATAATTCAGAGATTATATACCTCTTAATTCAACGGCTGTTAACAAACCAAATGATCAGTTATCATTGTGCTATATAATTCCCTACCATCCTTTATTGACAACCATATCATTTGACTGATGCTCGAAATAAGAATAAATCAGTGGGGCTGATAAAGTTGAGTTTCTAGATATCGTGATGAGTAGCAGTTCAACAACTTCATTCAATGCAGGGCTAGATGATAGTTGGTTAAAAAACCACGAATTTATTTCGGTTGCTTAATGGACGAAATAAGTATGAAACATTCATTCTAGTCACAGAGAACCGATAACCGTGTAACTGACTGTGTTGTCCACACCATATCAACACAGTAAGACGCTACGTGGTCAGATGGTCGAAAGTAGCAGCTTGGGGACTTATGTATAAATTAAATAGACCACTTTGATGTGTTAGGTAAAGTTAGCTTCAAAGAACATCTATTTCATTTTTGTCCTGCTATCAATGAAACTACTATGAACTTAATAAGACTTTTTTGACTGACTAGTCCTATTCAAGTTCTGTGGCCACGTAGCGCTCAGCTTTTTTCACTGAGTAAGTGTAACAAGGTCATCTGTACACAATCTTGAGTATTCCACAGATACTTCTCGTTTACGGTGCTTTACGGAAGAACCGATTTTGTCTCCAACCTATTGTTACTATTTACTTACTTTTGTACGGAGAGTATCTTTAAACCATCGAAAATACATATATAATAATACTGTCTGTCATGTCTATTGTTTTTAACAATGTGAACCATGTGATGACTGAAAAGTTAGTTTAAAAATTCTTAAACTGAATGGCAGCATTTTCGTCTAAATGGGAACAAATCAAGATTCACAACTACAGATATAATTATAAAATAGAAGTGAAAGTTTTGACGTCTTTATGACTTTTTTTATGTTAGATTAATAATATCAACAGGCAAGTTTAGGTTCAACGTAGTGTGTAAGATTTATAAAATACTATCCATTAATGTTACTTTTGAAAGATATCGTGTCTTGTTACGTGATATATGGTAAAATTATAATGCCAGTCTGGCATTACTAATAAGTGAAGGGATTTAAGGAGAGCCTATGTAATTTAAATAATCAGGTCTCATTATTTAATTCAATTCTAAATTATATTTATCTGAATCGTGTCATAATTAAGCTCTTAAATTCTTCATGTAAATAAACACAAGCTCCGTGATCGATTTTATTAGCAATATGCACACACAAAATAAGAAAAAGAGAATTCAGCGAAAAAAATTTTGTTTTCGACGAAATCATTTAGTTAAGCTGTACATTCGTATATTATAGTTATATGGAAAATATATGTCTATAGGAGGCTAGGAAAGATTGCATTATAAATTGATTCGACAATAAATAACAAATGAGGTTACGTACTAATCAAGGGGTAAGGAAGAAAATAATTTATGGGTCAGATAATACTTGATTCAAAAAATACTCGATACGGAGTTTTATTTTCGAGATTTTGAGTCAAATCTCTGATAATTCAATTTCTATTTTATATTATTATAGATAATGGATTCCAAGAGTTCAATTACATGGGATGATATTGCTGGTCTTGAATTTTCTAAGAAAACATTGCAGGAAATTGTAATACTTCCTATGCTTAGACCGTGAGTCATAATATATTACCTATACATCTTTCACCTGCAACCCAAAATACACTATATATTTTCTGACTATGCTAGGATTAAATAAAGAACTTGGGAGATCTAGTCGTCTCATAAATAAACCATGTTCGTTTGGGTGTATTCATAAGATTCTGTCAAACTCAGTGGCAGTTTAAAGAAAGTGTACTGACCATGTTCGCTACCAATATAACTCGTTGTCGGTAGAGGTTTAAGTGGCATAATGTATTATTTAGATACATTTTCTAATCAATAGGGAATCTAATCAGCTAGATAATTCAAGACAAAAGTCGTATGAAAATCACTCTTTTTGTGGGCACGTTACAATATTGACATCATTTGTTTGATTACTCAATGTTTACTATAAATGTTTCGTCTTTGTTTTAATAGCTTAACAACAACCACTGAAATGTAAATATCAGTAAACTAAGTTTATACGCACTTTAAAAAATGTTCAAAGTCTATCCTAATAGTCAAATAATAATATATCATTCTTTTAGTTAGGAATTTCGGTGTTGAGAGAAAAAAATAAAGATCTTAGATTATATGTACGGACAAGCGTAATAAAAAACACCTTACTGTCAAACGACATTCGTCTTCTAGACATAAAAAGAGTTCATTGACAATTAAAAACAAGAGCATCATAACAACTGACGAAATCATGAGGTACATCGGTCAATCTACATAGTAACTGAACAGAATCCATGAAATATAATGATTTAACTTTCTAGAAAATGTGAATATACCAGTATAGGCATAAATCTCACATAAATAGGTGAATTTATTTTATGTCACTGACACCGAATATTTGAAGACAAGTGTAGTTAAATAGAGGATACTAGTAAGACAAATTACTAAAGGGAAGATGTCTGACAAAAGAATAATTTACTTAATGCATTAAACCGGTTATGGTTGAACAGTATATCCCTGCAATTGTATTCATAACGAATTTTAGAAAATACTCCATTTTCTGTGACTAGATTTTAGTGGATACATCTTAAAAATTTGTGGCTTATTTCGATTTCACGAAGTTACTGGTTTAAAGTGGATATCTACAATAAGTTAGTGACACGCTTGTGATTCAAACAACCTGGGTATGATAGAACACAATTCTCATGCCCTAGCAATAAACATCGTCTAGTGGTATACATGAACTCTTGGGGACTTTTTCAAACTTTGCTAAAATTTAAGAATGTCCTGTTTTTTGCATATTATCAACCGTCCTGTACCATCTTTCTCGACTTTAGGGACCTTTTTGTTGGGCTTCGTGGACCTCCAAAGGGCTTGCTACTTTTTGGCCCTCCTGGGACAGGAAAAACTTTGATCGGTAAGCCTATTTTTAATACGTGTTTCTTAAGTTATAGAAAGTCCCAGCACACTTTTTTTATTGTATTCAATTATTATCATATGGCACTCACAGTAAGTGGTTGCTTAATCCAGTTTACTATTTCACGATAAGAAAAGCCATCGAAGTTGTATGGTTTTATTACCTGATAGAGAGATTTAGTGCTAAAATTTAAGCATAATTAGTGTCTTTACTGCGCTAGACAACTTTAAACAAAGCAATCGTAAACCGTGAGTGTCATCACATATAAATAAACGCTGACGCAACTTACCGTTAGGACTAAGTACAAAAATTTCTTTTTGAGTTTAGGTAAATGTATTGCATCACAAAGTAACTCGACATTTTTCAGCATCAGCGCTTCCTCTCTTACTTCAAAATGGGTAAGCAAACCATTTTTCACATTATACTTGCTACTTTGAACGCTTTAATAAAAACGTGCTTTTCGCAAAGAGACTATTATACTGCTTTTTTCCCAACTTACTAAACTTGAAAAGCTTTCGTCATATTGTTCTAGGTTGGTGAAGGTGAGAAATTGGTGCGTGCATTGTTCTCAATTGCTCGGATTCATCAACCATCTGTTATTTTTATTGATGAAGTCGATTCTCTGCTTACTCAACGCTCCGAAACAGAACATGAGTCAAGCAGACGGATTAAAACCGAGTTCTTAGTACAGCTAGTGAGTTCACTAACTCTGTAATTCTCTAAACTACTCACTTATATTAGCGCATCTCAGACGTATGGTTTTTGTTCTAGGACGGAATAACAACAAATGACGATGAACGCATACTTTTCATTGGAGCCACAAACAGGTATTTTTTTTGTTTACAATAATTTACTTAAGTGTTTATGCGACGTTCACCATTAAGTATCCCAACCGAATTTAGCTTCTTTAAATTTCATGTACCTGTTGTTCATACCAAAAGAGCACAACAATCGCTTTATGAAATAAAGCACTACCAATCACTTTAAAATCAAAGCACATGTCAATACAAAGCAATTACTCTGTCGTTACGTACCATTGTTTGTAAATGTAATATGTACCGAACTATGATGATGATAATTATGTGGTGTTATTCATTTCCTTGAACTAATCAAGCTGCCAAATATGTCCCCAGAAAAAATATTTTACTGTTTGATGGTGACGCTTCTAAGATGATATCTATTTATACTTTTTACTGAATTCGACAGACCTCAGGAACTTGATGAGGCCGCCAGACGGCGGTTTGTCAAGCGATTGTATATCCCATTGCCTACCAGGAGCGCGCGAAAGCAAATAGTACAAAGATTACTGCGACAAAACCATCACACACTAAAAGAGGAAGACTTTTGGGACATTGCTGATCGTGCTGATGGTAAGTACTGCTTATTTGTATGTTACAACCTAATGTCAGTGGACTTACTTTTAGTAAGGTTAACCTCTACTTTATTAAATTTGACAATGATCCATTGCAAGACTGTTTGGTGTTAACACAAATGATTAATCATGTTTTCCTAACACAAAAGGTTATTCGGGAGCAGACATGGCAAATCTCTGTCGAGAAGCTGCAATGGGACCTATACGCTCTCTGACAATAGAAGCAATACAACATATAGCATGCGACGAAGTAAGTGGGACGCTTAACCTAAAATCACAATATATGTAAGCATTATCATTCCTAAAAAGACCTCTCTTTACAAGTAAAACTTACTATCCTCCCTAAATCCCTCCTTAGTTGTTGTATATAACGATTTAAATCCTCGGGGAATATAGTTGACGTTTTTCGTTCCATTTTAAACCTACTAATATTAGTCATATGGCGATACAACAAACATTTTGGCATTGTCACCTATAAATATTCAAACAATTTTATTTTTCCTTTTAAGGTTAGACCAGTCGAACTGACTGACTTTCATGCTGCTTTCAGACAAGTTAGAGCAAGTAATTCGTCCAGTGATCTGGAACAGTATCTGAAATGGAATAGTCAGTATGGAAGTTTCGAAGTTTAGGCGAACAAAATGTGGACAAACGTGTCGGCTGAAACTTGTTTGAAGTTGATCTGTTCAAACGTTGGTTTATTTATGTACACGTTGACGATTTTAATAAATTATTGAAATAAATAAAGCTAGGACTCATTTACATGCACGATAGTGCTTGGTAGAGATCTTAAATAAATTAGTTTGAGCACTCTTGTGTAGTTTGTGGTGTATTGTTAGGGTTATCTTGATTGAGAACGTTTGAAGCTGACTGGGAGGTTGGTGCTGGGACCATGATCCTTCGCCTTCGAAATCGCGGATCATCAAGGTAGGAACGATCACCTTGCCGACTAGGTGCGTGTAAATGATCGGATGAGGTATTAGCAAAGGTGTTAGCCATTTCATGCAACTGCAGTTTGATGGGTCGTCTTTGTGTTAAACCACCTGGGTTATCACCGTTGGTTCCAATGGGATTGGTTTCATTGTGATTTTGTGCTTCTGGTTCATCATTGCACCTTGAATTTTCTGGGTCACTAACACTCGAAGGTTTTGATGGAGGTTGAAGTCTGAATGTTGTCAGTTGGCCACGCAACCTTGGATCTTCGAAACGATATGGCAAGTCATCTACAGGGAGCTCCATCAATGGATAAGGAATTTTGACAGTCATGTCCAAGGGGATGAGACGCCAAGGTGCTGGACCCTGGGATGGAGTGACACCACCCATCTGAGTAGTTGTAGTAAACTCAGGTGCGGATCTATCTTCAACCACAATATTAGGAGGAATTGCTTCTGTCTCAGTTTTTGAAAAAAGCTAAAATAATAGGGAAGAAAAAATTCACCATAAACATTAATGTAGTGAAATGTAAGTCAACACCTATTGAACAATGAAACCCTTCACATTTCTGATGAATTATTATTAGCTACAAGTTCAAAGTACGTAATACTAATTCCGCATCAAGTTTTATGGCGAGACCAATGTAAATCATAGTTAATCTAATTCAATATAAGTCCTAGGTGTTGAACTCCGAATATTTATTACCAGTGACACCTTAAATGGCGGTCTTCTGATATCTTTCTAAGTATCCTATCTGGTTTGCAATGCAACACAATACTAGGTGCAGATACATCAAACCGAATAAATCATTAAAAATACTGATTTAAATAACTTACTTGCGGCGGGCTCGCACTCTCGAGTTGCAGGCTATGTTCACCTACACATGTAGGCGATGAAGGGGGGATAGTCGAACCGTTTTTACAGTCGTCATTCATCGTTTTACTTGAAGCAAGAAGAGCTGCCATCATATCGAGTTCTGAACTGACTATGGCTTCTTCACGTACTGCATCGAAATTCGGTCGAATAGGTGGAGAGGGCCTTACCCCAGCCCCATAAAACGTCTCACATCTAGGCCTAAACCTAGGGAATCTCATGCTTCCAGGGTCCATCGTCCGCATTCGCGGAGGCATTATTCTTGAAGGTGGACATCTAAGGGGTGTATCAAGCAGTGACGGGGGTCGAAATCCGTTAACTGTGGGTGAACATGTTGCATTAGACATGACGTGCTGAGACTGAAATGGTACAGGGCCGTAAGGCACCGGTGAAGGGAAACACCGGTCATTTTTGGGATACACAGTTTGAGGCATCTGCTCACCAGGAACCATATTGAACGGACGCATTCCCCTAGCGCGTGAAATTTCGTGCTCTGGGCGGAAGTGACGAGGACTAGGAGTACAGACAGGAGCAAAAAGATTCGGCGTTAAAACTGGCATACGTTGAGGGCTGAAACCAGGAGTAGCAAGTTCTTTTTCAGATGGTATATTCCTTAAAAAGATGAACGTTGCAAATGAATACACAAGATAATTAGTAGCCAAACGGTGAGGAACATTCTTGCGTCAAAAATTTGACTGGTTTTACTAATTACTTTAGCAGCACAGTTTTGCGATACTCGCTATTAATTTGTGGAGTGTTTAAACTCCAGAAAATGATGACAAAATACACTGCTTTAATGAAAATTAAGAAACTATTCCGTTAAATAAATCTCAACGTATATGAATTATGTTGACTGCGGTGATAATTTCATCATAAAAATAAGAGGTATACTAGATATTCCTTACATACAATGAAAGAATGATGTAAGAAAACAGTACTAACGTAGTCGATGTGAACCTTGTAACAGATGTGATGAACTGTTTTAGCACCAACGTTTTAGTAGTGAATGACGAATTCACGAATGCCAGGGTATATACAGTTTAAAATTGAGAGATGGTGGTTAGCCGCACCATTAATTTCTTTACTTTAAGTAGGTGTACATCATTCAGAACTGAAAGGGGCTGAAGATATGTCTAGATTCAAATTACTGAGAAGTGTGGTTTAGACAAATAGCAACCCACAATGCAACTAATGGCGTCAAGGTTTTTGAAGATTCCTTTATAAGTGCCTGATCCGCAGGCAACATCATGTGAAGATTCTGAAAATAGAATATGTATCTATGAATTTCTAAATACGTTTGAGTCCATCAGAGAAATTTGTGTTTAACCTCCCATCATGGTTTGGTTCATATCTTGTCCCAAAAATGGATGGTTTCTCAAAAAGTGTACCTGCTTGCACTTAAAGATGAATTCGTAAATAAAGTGAAGAGAAGACTAAGTGAGGGAGAATATACGTTACAAATCTAATGATTGTGGTTTACTCCCATATTTACCACCACGACGCTATCGATTTTGATTTGGAAGGCGCCCCACGAGGAAATCAAGCATTTTGTGAAACCATAGCTAATATGGGACAGCCAGCAATTAGTAGCAGGATACCATAGGGGAATGGCAAGATAGGCTGATAGTATATTTTTACTATAGTGTCACGCATAAGTGACAATAAAAGAATGTTCGGTGGTGCGGTTGCTTATGCTTTAAACAATTGTTTATATATTCCAATATCATTTTACCTAATTCGATTTACGCAATAGCCTTGTTTCATTAGTCTGTACTACTAATTCGACTAATTAACTGTTAATATAAATATATTTCGTTACATCAAGCCAGCAAAGACTGTCACTAAACAATGAGTACAAAACTGGGACGTTAAAATATAAGAATGGGAAGTAGAGACATTTATACTACGGGTGTCTCTTTCTAACGACGCCATTTACGGTGGCAGACCACCAACCCGCTGGCTCATCGTGTAAAGTATCTCCCAACACAAAAGGCTTACTGTCAGTGACTTAATGAACTGATATCATCACCTTTCACTAAATCTCACATTAAGAAGTATTACCCATCAAAGACAGAGATTCGATTTCTGACACAGGTTGCAAACATGAGTTGTCATAAGCCTACCACAGTCGCCTAACTCACACCTTTTGTGGGACGGTGGCTTACCGCCCAAGCCACTTGGTTTTTGACTAGTAGGTTAGAGGTTAGCATCCCACTGTATCTACTATTTGGGCATTCGTTCAGTAGTTTATGCCTCTACATTGTATGCCTGAAATCTGAATAAATACACCAATGCTTAATAAATTGGTTGTATAATTTTTTGTACAGAAGTGGGTATTGTAAGGGTATCTGTGATCTTATAACGCCATTTATTTCTTCGCTCCAAAACAAGACACAACTATCGACCAAATTAAGCTATGTATTAGGACCCTGAATACTTGCTTGTGATAATAATTGGTGTAGATTAATGAGTAACAGGCGGGTTTTGTATTCCTGTCGATATGTATTTAGCTAACAAGGTCCCTTAATAACTGTTCACATGAGTAACAGTTAGAAAAGATTAGTAATCTTTTCCATACCACTTCGAAGTTTATTCTTCAACCTAATTAGACACTAAAAATGTCGGCCAAAACGAATCCACTAGTAACGTAGTGCAGGTGACATTACTGAGAGTCACCATGTACTTGTTAACCAAAATCCCCAATGTACAGCTTGACTAGATGGAAACGCATTTATTGGCTGAAGTAGCTGTACATTACACATACTACAAAGAATAATGACCGGAACAGGTTGTGTAAAAGCTATAAATGGTGATACTAAAATATTTGACCAACTAACGGAACCTGAGCTTTTGGATGTGAAGCAGTGATTTGAAAATGTACGTGAGCTAGTCTTAAAGTAATAAAATAAGCTCGGAACAAGGGAATCTTTTATGTAGCCTTGAGTAGTGGTGGAATTATGGGTATACATTTTCAAATCAGTAGAATTGTAGTAGTTCAGTGATACAGAATCCAAGTAACAGAAGTTAACAAAAACCTATCAGTCTATTTTTGATTTCCAGAAATCATGCTAGGAACATATAATTACTTATATTTCAATTTTTTGACAGGCAGTTAAAGTTCAACTTGTGTAACAAGATTTTAGAGAAAATAAAACTCATAACACAGCTTACTAACTTACTTAATACAATAGGGAATCAGTAACAGACATACATTTTCTTCTCAAAACAACTGGTTCTCCATTAAAATTTCAGCATTAGAAAAAAACGAGTACAACTGGCGCAGCTAGTTTTCAGTTTTATTGAGTGGTGCATCAAAAATGCACCACAAATAATAAATCACGTTAGCAACTGTAACGCGACTATTCACCACAGTACTTAATACCACAAACCGATATATTATTGAGTAGTAAGCATAGCTTTGGCGAACACCAAGACCAAACTTTGGTGAGAATGGCGACTCTGATAAACATCCGTGTGGTATCACTCAAATCCTCTATGAGGAAAGACAATGTAAAGCAATAATTATGTGTAATTTGCTTGAGCTAGTAGGATAAGCACCGATCCATCTTATTTAAGGCACATATTGCAAACCAACTGCTAAATAATATGTATATTAAGTAAATTTCAGTGATAGAACTCAATAGCGTACGGTCTTTATTTATTTAAACACATACATATTGGTACAAAGGGGCACCAGATACATATGCGCCACCAGCGTACGGTCCAACATAAAGAAAATCATGTTAGCCATCCCATGATACAGAGCACTAAATATGTATGTTTCGAACTACAAAATTCACTGTCTTAATATTCACTGCGAGTGATCGTTATTATCAATTAAATACATGAAAATGGTCAAAATACTTACGTCTTGTTTAAAAACGTTTCAGATTTACGATGCATTAAATATAGCTATCCCAAAGGTTCATTTAATAACGAAAGGGACATAAGTCGTAAACGTCCCAAATAATATGATAGGGAACCTAACTTCATATATCAAAAGCTTAGTTTTGCTAATATGTGATATAAGAACAGATAGGAGTTACATCAAAATATTAGGCACCAATAAGAATTTATCATATGAAAAGCGACAACAAACAAGAAATCGATTGGTAGCATGCCTCATTAACTCACATTTGTGGGAGATTCTGGTCAAATCTGTAATCAACGTCACCATGATCATCGTTTCTCGGACGGCCACTCATAAAAGATTTCGAGTCAGGTTGTCGTACAAGCCCGGGTTTAGAACAGCGATCAACGCTATGCTGATGAAAGTTGGTTGACAATAAATGTTAAGCTAACCTTTGAGGATATTTTTTCTAACAAAGAGCGTGTGAATTCTGTTAGAGGAGCGTGTGAAAACTTGCAGTCACTACCATGATGGCAATCATTCGTCAGATGGAAGAACTTGCACGGAAATTCACCATGTAAAAACGAACACGCAGACTCTTTGGAACACATACCGACAGCATAAAATTTGCACAGTTCATTTTTCTTTGCTGGTGTAAAATCATGAAGAAATGGGCAAGAACCCCCCTGCTCATATGTGGGACTTATACAAAAGAACAAACCTTGCTACAACGACCATCCATATAATATTTACACCTAGATTGAGAAGCAGATCTATGAGGAGCATCTTTCTTCCGTTTTTTTCTCTTACGACTGCGTTCAGATGACTTTGTCTTATCCTTTCACATGAATCATGTCAGAGGTAACAGAACTTACAGGTTCCTCATGGTTCATTAAGTAAGTATCATCTTCATCTTCAGACAGAAATTCAAGTAATGGTAGCTTACTACGCTCTTTGGAGCGCTTACTGTTTGCATTCCGCCCATCCACATGTGGAAGCTCAACAGCTCGGAGACCCAACAAAACAGTTGATTCTCGACGAGAACACCTAAACCTATCAGCATTACGCTCAGTGTGACGTTTGCGCTTTGACGACTTATGGAGACTAACTCTGTGAAAGTGATGTACAGAAATAAGTTAAAATACTTTGTCGGACCATAGTTTGTGTACTCGTGACCGGAATCCTCATGGTCTGAGCCACTTAAATCTTCAACTTCCCCTTCCTCGAAATCAACTGAGGTCATTGATTGGCTGCTAACAATGCTAAAATGGATACACGAACCAATTGTGAATATTCAGAAAACGCGACTACCGTACAACGAACTAGCACTTAGTGACGACTAACAAATACAGGAATATCTAAAATAACCTAGTTGCTTACGTCTGCCGAGAGCAAACATACCAATCCTAAATACATTGGTTATTACACTGTTACTTAACATCGCAATCCATGCATTTGAAACTAAGAGCTACAAACCTCATCAAAAGCCCTAACTGATTTTGTATTTCTAAGGTTCACACAACAGTATGAACTTTATTATCTTGAGCAACGGCACGACTGACAGAATGCCGCCCAAACTCTTTTATCGAGTGGGACGACTGCACCGTATTTGAACAAACAAACATTATGTGAAAACCGAATTTGATAGATCTTACAGTCTGAAAAGTATGTTAAAGCAAACTGACTGATGATTTTAAATTGTTATCGACATTATATACTTCGTACAGGCACAAGGAATGCTTTGATGTGTAGGTTGATATCCAAAACCAAAATTGCAAATCTGGAAATTTTAAGCGAAAAAGACATAGAAGAGCATTTTAATATTAATTTGCAGATTAGGAGTGATATGTGCTAGATACGTTCTTGACAATGACAGATGTAAATTACTAAACTAGTTGTGTGGTCAGTAAAATGTAGAGGTAAAATAACCGAAAAAAATAGCTCTCGAAGTCTTCCACGTTGAGGCTGACCATCATTACTTTCACCGGATTCACCTAGATGAAGGCTCTCGGTCTCGTATCCGCACCAGATCACGAGTGGATACGTAGAAATATGCATCTCCTTAAATTATTAGCTTGGACCAAATTTTCATTGACATACCGATAGTTTTCCAAATAAATCTTCGTCTAATTCCGAATTTTTGTAGCATCTTTCGTGGCGAGCCTGACGTGATTTGGTACACCAATTCGAAAATTCTCAGTCCTCCGAGTCATCCGACACGCGTTGGCGGCAACCGTAGACGGCAAATATAGCCATCTGATGAACATCACCGATATGATGACGAAAGTTCGCTAGCCTGTTTACGCTGCCATAGAAGTTAGAATTCTTCCAGCAACCGACGGACATAACGAGCCGGTTTTTAATCTATAGGCGGCAAGTGGAAAACCAATAGCCACATATAGTGAGTGGTATGTGTATCTTAACGTGGCTTTACGCAAACTCATCCACTGGATCCTCGTTAGTGCAGATGTTTCTATGCCGGGCACTGATATGTATCTGTTATAACGATGTAATCTACTCACCAACACGCGTAAATGGAAATCGGTAGATGGCCATATAAGCTCTCTGTTTGTGTATCTTCATTTCTCGGTTGTAGATTTTCTCCATTCACTGTTTGGCATGTGATCGGCTTCTACTATCAACAGATACTCAACAAGCACCCAGAACTGTACCAAACGAGACCGGAATCTCCGTGCGTAACCAGCAATGTTAGACACCACATCCCTATTACAAGACAACTTATACTCTTGAGAGCTCGCCAACTAGCTCTTGAGGAGTTGAGGTTGGCTAAAAGCGAATTTGACCACACGATGGAATGAAAAATCATTCGGCCATCGAACAGCCCATGAGACCTCCGTAAATATTCCTTTAAAATTGCAACAACCACTGATATTGAACTTGTGACTGAGGATACAATGGATGTTCTAGTTTTACAACTAGCACCCAGTAGTATCTTCTATAATCGATCGTTCCCAGTCGAATAGAAACCATAAGTCAGACGAGAAGAGGTAGGAAAGATATATTTGATACGTTACTAATATATCGATGAACCTTTGCTATAAGCTGAGCAATGAAACGTAGGAGCTGTGTCCCACGCCGAGTTGAAACGTGATCTGGTACGGATGCATGACCAAAAGCCATCAGCTAAACAAGTCCACTTAAACAACGTGGTCAGCATCCAATGTCGAACACTTAATGAGCTATTGATTTTGGGGAATTATTTACAGCTACAGATCACTCCCCCCCTAGTGAGGTAGTGATGCCCCTAAGACGTGACCAGCCAGAAGTTTAAACCCAACGAGTTTGTCGTTGGTAAACACTCTTCTGATAGCTTGCTTCGTTTAGCAGCGTCTGGTCGTCTTTCCTTAAACTATGGGACCAAAATGTACAACATAGCAATAAAGAAATATAGTACAATGAAAATTTCGGTTCCTTGCGAAACTACGTCGTTCTTTTCCAGCCGTCCCTGAAAAGAGGAAAAATAAAACGTGTGAGTGCATATCGAAAATACACTCGTACTTGCGTAAGGACACAAGATGAGTGGAAAAAAATTAAACTAATACACTTACAAACAGCGTAAAAGCGCTCGGAAAAAAAAATGGTTTTTTGGGGTTTTTTATATATAAATATATATATATATACGCTCAAAAAAAAAAAGGTCTTGTTTTTGGTTTTTTTATATAAATAAAAAATTATCATGGTAAAAAAATTTTTTATAATAAACTATGGAAGGGTAATTCAAGATAAAGCTTACGTCCTACGTGCAATATTCGTTAAGATGTTCTGGAAATCTTATTCGTCTTCCAGAACGCGTTGTTTTAGGTTTATCTATCGACGCTGACGAAGGATCAAGTTGTGTGTCGGTTGTCGTGTAGGGTACTACGAGTGTAGTAGCTGTGTCGTTTGCTTGTACCGAAGGAAAATCGACGTAGCTAGGGTTTCCTTCTAGGTACGCGGCTTTGAGTCGGTCGATACTGATGATATCGTTCGTACCGTTCTTATCGACTACATAGTACTTAGGTTCGCGTTGAAGAACTTTGAAGGGTCCTTCGTATGCTGATTCGAGGGGTCGTCGATGTGAGTCTCGACGAAAGCGCGGGCCACGGTTTCAGCAGTGATGTTCTTAATCGGTACTGCTTCTGGCCATCGAGTAAAACGGTCTACGCATGTTAGGAGATATGAGTATCCATTCGAGTCGGGTAAGGGTCCTACCAAATCTAGATGGACGTTGCCGAAACGAGCGTCAGGGGTTTTGAAAGAGCCTAAGGGACATTTGTTGTGTCTTATGACCTTAGATTTCTGACAGCTTACACAGGAGCGTGCCCACTCCTTCACGTCTTTATTCATACCAGGCCAACAAAAGCGTTCGGCTATAAGTTCGATTGTTGCACGAGCACCTGGATGAGAAAGATTGTGCAACGTATTGAAGACGTTGCGGCGATAGTGTTTTGGTACAATTGGACGATCCCTACCTGTAGATGTGTCACAGAGTAAGGTTTCCTTACCTGTTCCCATCTGCTTAATACTTAGTTTTAGAGTTGTCGAGGATAACTCATGCTGAAGATCAATGTCTTCTTTTTGAAGCTGAGCGAGTTTAAGGAGGTCGATTCCTTGGGAACTGTTCAAGGAACTTATTCGAGACAAGGCGTCTGCGACTACATTGTTTGCTCCAGAAATGTGTTGTATGTCTGAAGTAAACTGCGAAATGTAGTTGAGTTGTCGAGACTCTCGCGGTGAGTACCTGTCTGAAGATGAACTTAAAGAGAAGGTAAGGGGTTTGTGATCGATAAAAAGCGTGAATTCTGGTGTTGGTTTGTTCTCTGAGCTGGGTGGTTTGGTCGTGGAGCTTTCATCGTCCTTCTGAACGACATCATCAGCACAAACTTCGGGTAGAAGTGAAGTGTTTGAATCACCCACCTGAGCTACAAATCTTCTCCACCATCTGAATTCTCTTCCTTCGATGGAATGTTGGAAATGTCGTACAGCACAATACATGGCTGGGAGTTCCCTACCGAAAGTGTTGTACCTAGATTCCGCGTCTAACAACCGTCTCGAGAAAAATCCTAAAGGTTGTCAAGAGTTGTTAACCCATTGTTGTAAGACTGCTCCGATTGCTGAGTCGGATGCGTCTACGGCGATACTAAAGGGCACTTGAGTGTCATGATGAGCAAGCAGGGTTGCTTTAGCGATGTGTTCCTTAACTGTGGAAAATGCTTTACGGGCTATATCGTCTAAACTAATTGATTTCGCATTTCCACGAAGCTGATCGGTTAACGGTTTCATAAGGGATGCGCATTTGGGTATGAACCGTCTATAGAAACTTACGAGTCCGTTAAAAGTTCGTAAGTGCTTGATCGTGGTCGGTTCTGGGTAATCCAGAATGGCCGCCACTTTGCTCCTAAGGGGTCGGATGCCTTGGGCATCAATGGTGTGTCCTAGGAAGTCTAAGGAGATTGTTCCGATTTGGCATCTCTGAATGTTGACAGTAATGCCATGCCTTTGGAGTCGATCGAAAACAATGTCCAGATGCTTGAGATGCGATTCTCTGTCCGGACTTGTTATTAGACAGTCATCAACATACGCATATACGAAGTTGAGACCTCGGGAGACGTCGTCTATAAACCTTTGGAAGGTTTGAGCCGCATTTCTTAAACCAAAAGGCATTCGCAAGAATTCATAAAGACCGAAAGGAGTGATGATGGCGGTTCTAGGAACGTCGTCAGGTGCCATCGGGATTTGGTTATAAGCTTTAACCAAGTCGAATTTCGAAAAAACAGTTGTACCTTTCAAGGTAGCTGTCAAATCGTGAATATGAGGCAACGGGTAACGATCGGGAATGGTTTTTGCATTCAGACGCCGATAATCACCAGTTGGCCGCCATTCGTTGCTGTCCTTTTTAGGGACCATGTGCAATGGGGATGCCCATGGACTATTCGATGGTCGAATTATCCCTAGGTCCATCATGTGGTCGAATGCGTTTTTAGCTGACCTAAGTTTTTCGGGAGCGAATCGACGGGCTTTCGAAAATACAGGTGGTCCTGTAGTCGAGATGTGATGTGTAACATCGCTGGTTACACAAGGCAATTTTGATTGCGATTGGTATATCTCAGGGTATTTGTCGAGTACTGATTGATACAAGGGGTCTATGGTGTGTTTAATTGTGACTGGGGATAACCCGCAACCAGAACAAGGATTTACGCAAACAGATAACTTAGTGTTTCCGTCTATTAACCTTCGTGAGCGTGTGTCCATGAGTAGATTGTGGTATTGTAACAGATCTATACCAATGATTGGCATGGAGACATCTGCAACAACGAAAATCCAGTGTATGGGTTTGCGTAAACCCACATTAAGATAGACGTACCTTTTACTGTTAGTAGCGATCGGCTTTCCGTTTGCCGCTTGTAAACTTAAAACAGACTCGCGAAGTCTGTCGTCGGGATTTGCTGGAAGAACGCTAACTTCTGCGCCAGTGTCGAAG